GGGGGGGGGGGGGGCGGGGCAGAGAGCTGTGGCGGCCTGAGGGGTAGCTGCGGGTGTACGTGGGGGCTGGGGGCCCTTGGGGAGGGTACCAGCAGCACCTGCTGAGGGGTTCAGACCGGAAAAGGGTGGGAAGCCCCAGGCCTGCGTGTGGACAGGGTGCAGGCCCAGCAGGGACAGGCCTGCCTGCCCGAGGTTACCCCAGACACTGAGAAGCAGGTGGGAGCCGTGCGCTCCCGGTCTCTGAGGGTGGCTGCCTGCGGGCTCTTAGGGGCACTGAGTGTCCTGCCCCTTGATTCTGACGACCGCAGACTCCCCTTGGGCAGGGCCACCGTGGAGGCCTCTTGTGTCCAGAGTTTGAGAAACACTCCCTGGGTGAATGAGAAAGGAAACAAGCCATTTGCTGAGGTGACGTGGACCCCTCTACCCGCCACTCCACCACTACTGACAGGAACACCCTAGAAGACACAGAATGCAAGGCTGAGCTTGAGAGAAGGGGCCCATCCCAGAGAGCAGAGACCTGGAGCAGAGCAGCTACTGGGAGCCAATGCCAGGGCAGCTGCTAGGCTCTCGGGCCACCTGGGGTTGGGTTGGGACCTGGGATTCTTACACGTGTGGCATGAGCCACAGTTCCTCACAGGCCAGGGAACTCTAACACACGTGGATCAAAACAAGATCACGGTCCAGGACAAATATTTCAATGTGTTTTTTTAAAACTTTCCAGAAATAAAAGAATGAATTAACACAGAATGGTTAACCCTGGGCTTCAAAGAGAAAATAAAATCCACAGGGCAGCAAGCAAAATATCAAGTGCCTTAACCGGGAGAACAGCTTGGGTTTGCCCTAGACCTCAGCCCGTCAGTGTGCCCGAGGCTTCGTGCTCACAAAGTCTAAATGTAAGGCAGCAAGTAGGCCATGTCCAGCCCTCAGCATCTCAGGGACTGTTCCGCATGGGAGCGCTGCTTACAGAAATGACCGGGGTCCAACCTGGAGCCGGAGGAGGGGGAAAGCTCCATCACAGGATCGGGGGGATGTTGAGCCTCTATCTGCAGGAACACGTCTCAGACAAGGTGAAGATTTGGTTTCAGAACCTAATATAACGA